AAAAAGTCTAATATCAATATTTAATGAACAAGAATTAGAATTATTAATATTAGGTAAAATTTAATTTATGTTTTATTTTAAAGATATTATATAAAATTTTTTATTCTGCGAAGGTTTACCTCGTAATGATATCGAACATCCTAAAACGAACAAATAGTGCTCAACTTTTTTCTTCAAAAAAAATGATTTGCAATATTGAAAAAACTATTGTATAAAAAAATTCTATTACCTTTTTTTTTTTCTTAACAATACTATTAATAACTCTATTTAATCAAACTTATTTTTTTATGTTAGTTACTCTAATAAAGTGTTCTTATCAAAAATAAAATAGTTAATTGTCATTCAATCCGATTAAGTAATTGATTTATTTTACAAATTGAATGTAAATGAACGAGAAATTCGTATCATTCAAGATCTATTATTAAATATACTACAATAATATAATTCAGGATTATTTTTAGAAAATATTGAAAGAATTTCAGTTGAATTATAAATATTCTGTAGTTAAATACATTAATAATAACCGGTGGTGCGAAAGTTTTTGGATAAAATGTTTGTTCATTTTTTATTATTTTTTTGAAGTATACTAAACAAATGAAAACCTATGAATTAGAACCGAAATGTTATGCTCTGAGGGTGTGAGTATCTTTTCCTTTCGACAGCCACAGCCACATACGACATTGTCCGAAACAGATCGATTCGTATTAAATATAAATGCATTAACGATTAACCAATCGATTGAATACACATTATTTTACATTGCATCATGTAAGTGTTAATAAGATTCTATTAAATAAAAAGGTATGAAATGAATATAAATAACATAGGTTATAGTCTATATTGATAAATGCTTGTTATTTTCTAACAAAAGACAATTCTAATCAATAGACTCACTGAGATTTTCAATCTTCTTTTGATTCGAACAATATTAAGAAGACGATCATTAAGGATATTTATTTGTAAATTTTTATATACATCACCATTTCACAAATAATTATTTGAACGGTAGAATTTACTTTTAGAAGATTATGAATGGAATATGCAAAAAAACAACCTATTGAGTATAAGACAACAACAAAGGATATACTTGTTATGTATTATTAATATTTTTATGTGCAGTTGGAGAAAATAGATCAGTTATTATGTCGACTGTGGAAAGAAAATTTTTGTATCCTGCTATCGCTGTATCTGTACATTAGTAGTACATGGAAGAATAATGACATTACGGAATCATAGATAAGTCATTAACAAATTCAATTCTGATAATGGTTCTCTTTCAAGGTCTCCTAGGTAAAACATTGCACTATATGACACTCGATTATATGACACTTGATTCTCATCAAGCATCCACCACATAAAAAACTAAATTATATGACACTTCATTCGAATATTGACTTTGACTTCTTTTGAAAACTAGAAGAAGAGAATAAAAATCAAGAAACAATACCATACAATACAATATTCTTCGTTTGTTTCTTAAACACTTCGAAAATGAAAACAGCAACTCATGTTTGCCATTCACAAATATGTAATTTCTTCGCAAAAACTAAAAAGACAAAGAATTACTTTTAATCGTTTCTTTTTATTATCATCAGATTATTCATGCTAAAAGAAAGCAAAAAAGCTTCAGCACTACACAAGTATAACAATAGTGTCTATTATACAAACATCGATACTTTTCTGATGAACAAATGCGCGAGAAATTCTACAACTAAAATTCAGGCAACATTGAAGAAAACACTACCGATATTATACAGATTTCATCACTTTCTTTCATGCCAACTTTCTCATCTTTCTAGAGTGTTTTATCTTAATAATTGCAAAATACAAGGCCATTCCATGATGCTCCTTCTTGTAACGGCAGTCGCTCGAACACTTGCAATTGATTATCAACATTTTCTGCCGATATTAAATTGCTTTCTTTGGAAACAAGTTGAGAAATGCAAAATTCTATAGGGTGAGGTATGACCATAATGATGGAGATTCAGGTTTATTTTAAAAATATAGACAAGGCTTGCAGCTAGATTTCAATTTTTCAACATTTTATTTTTTTACTTTTGATGATAGGTTTTTGATTAAAAAGTCTGATAATTATCGATTCTCATATGGAGCTTTTTTTTTTACTTTGAAAATCAAATTTTTGAATGCGACAGACTTCTGAAAGAAACTGTGACTTGAAAGATGCGCGAGGCTATGTGGCACATAACTGCTCACGTATACCTGTCAGATTCGTTATATGAATCTCGAAAGCCATTACTCTACAAAAAATTCAAACATCTCACAGGAGTGCCATAAATTGAGCTTATAAATCACTACAGATAAGTGAAGAGCTCTTTTTTTCTGCTGACAGAAGCGCTATAAAAGCGACAAGAACAATCTGTATTCTGTCATTTGTTCGAATGTTGTCAAACGGCATTGAAAAGATTGATGATGAAACGAAGTTCTTTTCATTTTCGAGTTCGAAGAAAATCTCTCTTACTAGAGAACTTTTTTTTTTGAGGATGATCTCTGAATGATGTAAGCATAGTGAATTCAACTTTCACATTCATTAGTATTCCTTTTATCACGATGTGGTCCGTCTCCTAGAGAATCGACCAATAATGTGGATTAATAGAAAAATCTCAGGAGCAGTCCTAATCCATACTCATTCCCTCACTTACAGAAACTGATTACTACTTTCACTTTGTCTAATATTTCATGTTCTTCTATATGTTAGGTTCAACTTCTGTGTTACCTTTCTTTTATAGATTGACAAGATGTGTTATTGCACAGCAGAACTGATATTCGTTGCTCTTCTCTCTTGTTCACTTCTATCAGTGAGTGAACAGCAATATACTCCTGATTGGACATCACTCGACGCACGCCCATTGCCTAGATGGTACGATGAAAGCAAAATAGGTATCTTCATTCATTGGGGCTTGTATAGCGTTCCAGCTATCTCATCGGAATGGTAGGTTTATCTTAGGAGTTACTGGAAATGCATCTATCGCCTGTTCAAAAAAGAATCCATAAAGATAAAATTGTTTGTTCGAATCGTTTCTAGGATGTGGTGGAATTGGCAAGGCACCAATCCAAATGAGAACATTGTAGCTTATATGAAGAAAAATTATCCACCAGATTGGACCTATGCGAATTTTGCTCCACAGTTTCGTGCCGACCTCTATGGTGAATATCGATAAGAGATTTCTTGAAAAACATTGATAATTACTCTGCATTTTAGATCCGAATGAGTGGGCCGATCTGTTCGCTGCCTCCGGTGCAAAGTAAGTCAATGCTTTTCATTCGTCATAGAAATATCTCGTTTTCTCTCTTCAGGTATGTTGTTCTCACTAGCAAGGTCAGTTTGAAATGCATTGATATTGCAATATCACCTGAATAGTTTCTGTTGCATTTCAAAAATAGCATCATGAAGGTTTCGCCATGTGGCCATCAACATTTTCCTTCAATTGGAACTCCATGCAGGCTGGTCCGAAACGAGATTTACTCGGTTCGAAAGATATTCTTAGCTCGATTTCCTTTTTCTCAATGTGATATTTGTAGGAGATTTGGCTGCAGCTATTCGAAATCGAACAAATATTGTCTTTGGTTTGTATTACTCTTTGTTTGAATGGTTCAATCCAGTGTATCTACGAGATAAGTCCAACAATTTCACCACTCAATACTTTCCAGAAGTAAATGTTTGCTATGCACAACATAGAATCAGGCGAATAATATATCTCTATAGTCGAAAACGTTGCCAGAACTAAAAGAACTTGTGGAAACATACAAACCTGAAGTGGTCTGGTCTGATGGCGAATGGGGTTCGTTGATAAATCTCTCTTCTTTAAATGTATTCACATTCTAGTTCAGAGGCACGTGATACCTATTGGAGTGCCACTCAGTTTTTGGCTTGGCTCTACAATGATAGTCCTGTAAAAGAGACTGTTGTAGGTATTGGTCTATAGTCAATCATCAAAATATCTAGTTAGTTTCGGTAGGTTGTCAATGATCGATGGGGTAGTGAACTTTTGTGCAAACATGGCGATTTCTACACCTGTTTGGATCGCTTCAATCCGGGATATTTAATCGAGCACAAATGGGAAAATGCCTTCACGGTATGAAGTAAAGTTTTTGAAAAATTTAATTTAATTGTAATACCTATTACATTTGAGTAGATCGATAAAAGATCATGGGCATACCGTCCTACTGCTAACATTGATGATTATATGACAATTGAAGAATTACTCAAAGAACTGGTAACTACGATCAGGTTGTTTCCATTTCTTTGTTCGAAATTTTCGCAACAACATCTTTTTTTTTTATTACTCTTTGTTCAGTACTGGAGGGAATGCCTTGGTCAATATTGGTCCCAACTTGCATGGAAAGATTCCGCCAATATTTCAAGAGCGTCTTCGACAAATGGGTTCATGGTTACAAGTGAATGGTGAGGCGATTTATGCTACAAAACCATGGAAATATCAAAATGATACCATCAATCCCAATATTTGGTAAATGTGATTAAGCACATAAGTTTTGAGTTGTTTGTCGCTTTAGGTATACATCGTCAAAAGACAGTAAATTCGTCTATGCTTTTCTTCTTATATGGCCAAAGAATACTACCGAAATTATACTCGGTGCTCCATTGAGTTCCTCGAGAACAGTTGTGACACTTCTAGGTTCAAGTGCTGATTCACTTCCATGGCATGTAGCTAGTGGAGAGCGTGGCATTGTGATCGATGTGTCAACGATCAAACTCCATTCACTTCAAAGTGGTTGGACATGGGCATTCAAACTGGAGAATTTGTTATCCGACGATATCATTAATCCTACTCCTGGACGGGGTATCCCTGTTTGTTTTCATTGTTCTTTGCTATTATCTGCACTTCTTTGGCTTTTGTATGTACAAATGTGAGCGTCAGTTTGATTGTTCTGATAATAAAGATAGTGGAGATCACGACTTAACATTGTTAGAAAATGAAAAGTGTCTGTTTGTGTCGCGGTGGCAGTATGGTTCCAACTAGGGGTGGGAAGTTACCGTTCCCAGACCGTTACCCGGTAACAGTAACGGTAACGGAAAAGTTACCAATTACCCGGAAACGGTAACGGCCCGTTACCAGTTACCCTGGAACGGGGGTAACGGAAAATGCAGTCCTTCCTATTTGCTTTATGAAAATGATTTTTGAGAAAATAATGAATTTCTATAAATGTTGACGAAAGGGTGGGTGTGGGTGTTTGGCATTGGTGTCAGTGTGGATAAAGAATATACCCACACCCACACCATCATGAACAAATTTTGAACAGCAACAAGTTCATCTTAAGCTTTTTCGAAGGTTTTGGCACTGTTTAGAAGCATATAATGAAGGAAAACCATACAGTGAAGTTCTTCAACTATTTTTCAGTAAAAGCTGTTCGGGAATTACCAAAGAACATCTTAAAATTAGTAACACTAATTTCAATAGTTAATACTTTGTTTTCTCTCAATTCTTCATTTATCTACTCTCTTTCTATGTTTTTTCTTATCGACATTGTTTTCATATTGATACTCTTCTTTTATTGATACTAGTTACTTATTGATATTTGTGTAAAAAATAATAGGAATATAGACAGAACTGCCATATCCTATGAAATACCATCGATTAACAGTAAAAAAGCTAGTTAATTTGTTCTTTTGAAAAAAAAAGTTTAGAATTTTTGTTTTTTTTTGATGAAAAAAAAATAGAATTTAGTTTGTATAAGTTTTAGCAGTCTTTAAATTATATCTATCAAATTCTGCGTGAATTTCTACCCATATAAAAATAAAACCGTAGATTTATAGCGAAAAATGAAAAATACACCTAAAAGTGACATAGTCATTTATCAAAAAATTGAAAAAAAAAGGATTCTCTGGACAATAAAACAAAATTAAAAAAAACTAAATAGGTACTTTTGTAGCCCACGATCTGACGATTCTAATGAGATACGACAGTTGTTTCTATCACTTATTACAAAAAACTATAGATAGATTTACACGATTGGTCACAGATACGTACTTTTGAACATGTCAAGGTATCTATGTTGGATAAAAATTTT